ACTCTTCCTCTATGTATGGGTTCATTTCAGAGCAGCTCTTTTCCATTTTTTCCAAGAGAGCTATTACTGCCAGAAACATTTTCCTTGGATAGCCCTGGTCATAGGTGACTGGGCAGGAGAATCCATTTCAGAGCTCCCTAGAGCCTGTGATAAAAACTAGGCCAGGGATTTAGCTCAGTGGTTCTGCCACGTGCCTCGCAAACGCAAGGTCCTGAGTTCAAGCCCCAGTACCAAAAAAAAAAAATCTGTAATAAATGCCTCAATAATATTGAACAAAAGTACATTGGGGAAAAAAATACCGATTACCCTAACTCCTTGTAATGTAGAGTGGAGCTGTGCGTCTATGTACAGTAGGTGTAGTTGTGGTAGGGCTCAGGGTGAGGGGAGCTGCTAGAATGAAAGATTTATAGGCTAAAAAAAACTGTGTTCCTAGTTTGAGGACAGAATTTTCTTCTTTTCCCTTCAGCGATTTCATTCAAAAATATGAGGTATGCTTAAAAAGTGTTGTAAATGTTTAGTCTTTAAAAATGTATTACAACTGGGTGTGGTGCACACACTTGTAATCCCAGCACTTGGGAGGCTGAGGCAGGAAGATCACCATGATTTTGAGGCCACTCTGGGCTGTTCAGGGCCATCTTGTAATATATAGGGAGACCCTGACTCAAAAAAAATTTTATTACAGTAAGAGATACATTGCCATTAATCCCCCTCAGGATACTTCCCTCTTGATTTGAACACATCCATCATACTTAACACTTTCTCAACAGTTCTAGTTCTGGGAGTCCTTTTTCATGAATGTCTTTAGTTGTACTGTCGTGGCTGCCTCAGTGTTCTGAAACTGTTCAAAAGGTTTACCTGTTGTGGTCGTTTTGACTGTGAGGAAGAGTGAGACTCGCACTGTGCCAGATGGGATGAATAAGGATACACTGTAATGTTTTTCACTCCTGCCTTTCTGTTGGGTGGCACTCAGTGGCAGCTTTCACTGTATTTTTGATCATACCTCATAAAGACACAAAATAAAAATTCCAGAAATGTTTCAGAAAGTGGCAAGAATGATGGGATATGTGTATTTGAAACAAGGACATTAATGGTGGTATCTTTTACTGTAATAAATATTTTAATTTAAACATTCACTGTGTATTTCCATTATACCTCATATGGAATCATGGCAGTGTGCTAACATTTGAGGAAGGAAAGAGATGACCAAAATACAGTCATTACATCCAAAAATGCCTAAAATCCTCTGACAGATGTGAAAGAAATAAGATAAACTGTGGCAAGTATAAAATAGATGCATGATCAAAATACTGGGAAGTTCTGGAGGTTGAAGAAAGAGTCCACATGTCTATGGGAGAATCAGGAAGGTGAGCTGAGATCACTGGTTTTGCCAAAGGCGTTTGTCGTCGGGAAAGATTTTGATAGATGCAAAGGATGGTATGATCAAAAACAAGCCAGGAAATGTGAAACAGCAAGTAATCTTGACTTGTGGCCTGAAATGGAAAACTCAAAAATCATTATTTGAACATAAATGATAATCTTAAGAGGTATTTTAATAAGTTGTTGTAATTCAGTCATTAATGGGAATAACTGAAAGCTTTTGGTGAAGAGCATGACATGATAAATTCAGATGGCACACAGATCAATTTTGTTGGTGATGTTAGTTGAATGGGCAAGATGAAGCCAGGAACCTATTTTAATATTCTAGCTAGAAAATAGCATGATTATGATATAGTAACTGAGGATAAAAAAGAAGAAATATATGTGGGAAGGCAGGTCAGCACTTGCTGCCATGGCTGTAAAGCTACAAGAGAATCAGAAATAAATGGCTCCTGGAAGTTCAGAGCCTGAACAATTGGGAGGAAAGACAGAATCAAGAGGAACAGTGAGAATTTGGAAGAAATTCTTTACAGTGTTGATTTCAATTGAGTTTTATGGCACCAAATATTTGGGTTTACTTTTCAAAGTGTATTACTCACGAGAGAGATCAGCATGTGAGATGTGGATTCTGGATTTTGGTAATACCTAAATAGAAACAATGAATTGTTCAAGGTTAGAGAGAGGAGGCTAAAAAGAAAATATTGGGGGAACATTAGCCATTAAGGGCCAACAGAAATGCATGATGTATGTTAGCCAAGTGAGCAAAGAATTCCAAGAAGAATGAAAACTGACTGAGAAAAAGTAATGTACCATCATAGTTAAAAGCATGGAGCTAGACTGCTGGGTTCCAATCCTACATCTGCCCCAAGTTATTTAAATCTTTGTTCCTCAGTTCCTGTTCCTAAATAAAGGTACGAGGGAGGGAGATGTACCTCAGTGGTAAGAGTACTTGCCTAGCATGGGCCCCTGGGTTTGAATCCCCATCAAAACACAGACACACACACACACACACACACACACACACACACACACACAGTATCTGCTTCATAGGGTCATTGTGACCTTTAAATTAAATTAATAGAAGTAAGATATTTGGTAGAATGTCTAAAAGTGTTCTTTAAACATCAGCTATTATTGTCTCAATGTTATTTATACAACATGACTTTGGGAAAATAGATTTAGCAAAATTGGTAGCTCAGCTGTAATAGGTTATGTTCTATTTGAGTAGAAGGGTTATGAAACCTGGGGTAAGAATTCTTTCAAAAAATGATGTAATTATGAATGAAAGAGAAATAATGTGTTTTAAGAGGAACAAAATAGATTTCATAAGTGATTTTCTTAAAGCATTATGTTTTGTGAATTCATTTTTCGTTTCATAAATTCTGATGATCATTTCCTGTTGTAGCAATTGGGAGGAAATAATGATAATCACTGAGATTCTTTGTTGCCAAATAGTCCTTAGTACACCCTATGTTGTAGTAACTAATTTAATTTCAATCTTTAATGGATTTCACGTGGATAACATTTTGTATTTACCATAAAATATATTTGTGGTAGAAAACTTTTATGTAGTTTTTGTTGTTTATGATTTTCATTAGTGAGGTGTTTTTTGAAAACTTAAAATCAATAATGGCTAACAGCTGTAAGATGGAAAACATAAACATTAACTGTGGGAAGTTGATTGCAGGGATTTCAGCCATAATTTCCTGTATTTAAAAGGTTTTGTTCTTTTTTCTTCTGGATTGAATGCAGGGTCTTCATGCACACTGACCTACATCCCCAGACCTTTATATATATTTAAATTTTTATTTAAGACATAATCTTGCTAAGTTGTCCAGGTTGGGCTCAGACTTGCAGTCCTGCCTCAGCCACCCAGAGCACTGGGATCATAGGCATACACAACCACATCCATCTCTGTCTTTTCTTTTTAGAAAAAGATCGTGGCACACATCATAATCTTGGCTACTTGGAAGGCTGTGGCAGGAGAATTGCAAGTTCAAGGCCAACCTGGGCAACTTAATGAAAACCTTTCAAAACATTTGAAAAAGAGCTAGGAATGTATCTCAGTGGTAGAATGCCACTGTATCTGATCCCCAGGGTTGGGGGCATGTCAAACCTTAGCATTAACATTATGATTTTAATTATTAATTTCAAGAACTGTATTTTTCCAATGTCAATGAACATTTGACTTTTATATATGTTCTTGTCAGTGCCACAATACCATGGTTTAAAAAATCTTGTTACACTGTAGAAAAATTAACTTTATTTAAACATTTGGAACTTCAAAATATTTTGATTTTAGAAGTTATTCTTGTGATATTTATATTTTAAGACTTCATAACCTTTTTTTTTTCCTGAGACTGATTCTTGCTTTGTTGCTCAGGATAGCCTCCAACATGCCTTTCTCCTGCCTTAGCCTTCTTAGCATCCCCCATGCCTGACTCAACTTCATAATGTTTAACTTTTCACATCAATCCATAGTTGTCTGCCACCATAGTTATTCATGTTTTATGAACCTTTCTGATTTACAAAGCATATTACATACATTTTCCATATTCAGTCCTTATAGCAACTTCATTGATCTGTAGCATCACCTCTAAAAATGAGGACACACACTCCAAGAATAGTGACTTTCCCTAGGCCATAGTAGAACTGATCTCCAACTCAAAACTGTGCATCTCTCTTTCTGTACTATTAATACTCATGATTAACCTTTATTATTTTAACCACATACGATCAATCCTGTCTACAATCTTCACAAAAGTAGCAGTTTTGTTCCAGGTTTCCAAATTTATATCCTCTTAGAAATTAAGTAATTTTTATGTAAAGCAATTGTTTTCAACCAGTTGAGGTTTTGACCTGTCTCCTAGCCTTCATCTCAGGAGTATTTGGCAAATTCTAAAGAAATTGTTAATTGTCCAAATTGTGGCAGGCAGCAGATGCATATGTCTGGCATTCAGTGGGTAGAGACCATGAAGCTGCTGAACATTCTGCAATGTGCAAGACAGTCTCCACTCCACAGATGTGAGGGTGATCTGGCTGCGACATCTGTCATGCCATTGATCATCAGGGTTGATTCAGCTGATCTGGCTAGCTAGGCGGGTGTCTCCTTCCTCCCTCACCACTCCACGTGCATCCCTCTGGAAGCTGCTTTGGTCTAAGAGACCAACCACCCCCGACAGATGACCACAGTCAAGGGTATATGAGTAGCTGTGCTCCCCTGCAGAACCTTCAAATAAGCTCTCAAGACAGTCTCCACTCCGAAGAATGATCAGGCCCCAAAATGTTAATAGGGCTGAAGTTGAATACCCTTCTGTGAAAAAAGAGATCTTATTACCCATTCTTAACCTGGATTTCCAAACCATCCACTCATTCTGATGTATCTGTAATATTCTCCTTCCCCCTTCATAAAATATAATTAAAGTCTAATTTTTGTGATAGTTTAAATAAAGGTGATTTTCACTGCATGAGAATTACATGGTATATTTTAGTACTATTATTTAGAATAGACATTAGTGCTGCTCTAATAAATGTTGTATATAAATTAGAGTTTTCTGAAAAATAGTTTATGTTCCTGGGCAGGAAAAGAAGAATTAAACCAAAACACAGTTCTTTTATTTCAAACAATATTTTAATGATGTTTTCCGTATTTCTAAGTTTGAATGCCAATAAAACAAATGAGACTACTCATAGCTTTTGTACAGAATTTTCAGTTTTTGTCTGTTTTCTTTGATGCTCTACCACTTCAGATGTATTTCTTGAGTTATATAGTCTGTGTGTACTTAAGGAGACAAATCAGTATAGAATTAATAGCATATAGACCCTTCTAAACTAGATCTTCCAAAGGGACATCCTGAAAATATTCCTTGGAGTTGAGGTGACATTGTTATATAACCTAAAAATTGACATACTAATAAAGGTTTATAATAACTGATAATAAAAATGAGAGTTATATAAACACTACACATCTTTACAGAGGTTTTATAATCAAGTACTAACTATATAGAGAAAACTGTGCTTTAGCCCCAAAACCAGCTCTTAAGAGTAGCATCTGTAGAGTTGGTAATGAATACTTACTGAAAGTTTTATTATAAGAAAATGGTTTTAAACATAAAAGACAGGCTGTAGCACATGAGAATTTTGTTATGATTATCTCAAACCATACTTCGCCATGATTAGAAATGTTACAGTACTACCCAAGTTATTAAAGAATAAGAATAGTATAATATACTCTTCAGATAGCTGTCCTTATCAATTTTATTTTTCTTACAAATGAAAGAGCACAAGTGTTGCTAAGTCAAGCATTCTATTTACAGTACAGTTCTTTTTAAAATGCACTAGATAAGAAAAGGTTAAATACTGACTTTTTACTGAGAAAGGAATGGTGAAGCAAGAGATTTATGCACAGTCATTTTATGCAGAAGAAAACTGCAATAGATACTTATTTCTGTCAATCCTTATGTACCAATAAATCGGCAAAATTCTGTTAAAATTTTTTGTCGCTTACCATATGGGACAGATTTTTCTATGTGAATAATACTACCATTATTAATGACATTCAAGTATTCCAAATGAAAGATTTTTTGAAATTCATACTGAGTGGACATCATTAGTTATTATTTTCTGAAGTTCCCAAGTTGAACACTCATTCTGCTCAAAACACAACGAAATGTTGCAGGTTGTATTTCCCAGTATTTCACCGGGTTGTTAAATAAACTTATTGCACTGTAGAGAGATTTCTTCATCTTTGGTATTGTTGGACAGAAGTCGTTTATTCCCACTTTCGTAATTGAATTAAAATGAAGGAAGATTATCTGTTGTAGTAGGAAAAGAAAGAATAGATTTAAAATACCCAATAAATGTAAAAGGATGATATTCTATTTATATTCAATATTCGTGGCTTTACTCATCTGTATTTTCACTTAAATGCACTTGTTTATACCTATTAAGTAGCTTTTAACCATTCAAGCTCCCATGCTGTCCAAGAAAATGTTCTAGGACAGGTGCTGTATGGCACACAACTGGAGCCATGGCTCCCAGCATGCTGCCTGGTCAACTTGCCACATTGCTTCTCCACACACCCCGTCCTGTCCACCTCATCCCATATATAGTTACTTCAGATGGGCATGACTGTGTTTACTTTGTGGATATTCACAGTTACAATTGAAAAGTATTAGAAATGAACAAAGGAATGAAATTCAGTGTTCCACAAATTCAACTCACTATATTAAGGTGAAGAAACCATTAGCTGGAACTTTTTTTTGCGGTAAGAGAGAGAAGTATAGAACACTTTTTTGTATGTGGTTTTATAGAAAATCTGTCAACATCTTAAACACATATTTGTAATAGGGCATTAGTAGTTGAATCCTTTGCACTAATGAAGAAATGCCAATTTTATAGGCTATGGAAATGTCTTGTAAATTGTTACTTATAAAGAGTGAGAAAATTTTGTTTCCATGATAATAAGCCTTTCTATTACATTTTGGTCTTCTGTAGTAACAGTAAGATTTCTAAGAATTAGAAGTAAGCTACTTAATTAACAGCATTGTGACAGGTTAAAAAGTAGGAACCTTTTGTTGGAAAAGCTGAAATATTGGTTTTGACCTTTAGTTAAGATTCTGCCTTTATTTCTTGCAAAGAGAGCCTCATCATGAAAATTCTAGGCTTTGCTAAAATGTTTATGTGTGGTTGTCAACCTTCCTCTATGCTCTATCAATCTTGGGATTTTGTGACAAATACCTACATGGTTCCCTTGCTCATCAATATCAGAGCAAGGTATGTTTTCCACAGCACTGAGATCATTGTGAGTGAAAATATAATAGGCATGAATGTGTTTACTTTGTGGGTATTCACTGAATTGTACACTTTTGATTTATGGTTATCTCTGTGCTTTTGTTCATTAAAGATGCTAACAAGAGTGCAGGTGGATGTAAGAGAGATAGTAAGCTGAGGTCTGAGTTGTCCAGAGGATGCAGATGAAGGAAAGTGGCCTGAAATAGGGCAGACCAGGATGTGCTCACAGTTGACAGATGTCCATGTACAGTATTCAGAAACCAAAGACCAGCAGGTCACTCCCAGATCCACATTGGCACAGAGTGCATGCTTTGATGGTTGTGTCTCCAATGAGTGCAGTGAGCAAAACTTGTTTAAAGATAAATGAGAAAAAAACTAAAGAAGCAGAGTGTTTGCTGAGTTTATAGCTTAATGTGCTGTTAGAAGGTGGGGCCTAGTTGGAGAAAGTAGGTCACACTGAGTATGTAATCTGGAAGGCTATATTCTTGTCCCACCCCCTTACTCTCCACCCCCTCTCCTCCCTGGATGCCATGAGGTGAGCGGCTCTCTTCTGCTGTACCTTCTGCCATGATGTTTCTGCCTTGGAGCCAGCCATTCCATGGGCTGAAACCTCTGAGACCGTGAGCCAAAATAAACCTTTTGTTCTCAAAGTTATATATGTCAGGTATTTTGTCCTAGTAACAGTACTAACATAGTACTCAGTGCCCAGTTTTGTTCTCAGCATATCTTTTGCTGGAAGATAAGACTTTGTATAGCAAGGGGATCTCATGAGAAAAAAATGGATTAAGATGAAATAATACTATGCAAGGATTCTTTTTTTTTTTTTTTTTTTTTTCCAGGGATCGAACTCAGGTCCTTGCGCTCCCTATTTTGTTAAACACACTGTTTCAAACATTCT